TAATAAATTAACGGACACCTGTACGGGCCACGGGATTTCGTTTACAATGACGTCTCAATTGATTAGCCGTGATAAATGTGTGCGTTAAAGTTTAAAAAAAAAAAGACAACAACAAGCGTCACAGGGGAAACCGATCGAATATACTTTTACTTTTATTATTTCCGACTATGGCTAGAAAGTCGTGATGAATTACGTACTTATTCAACAAAGTTTGGAATGAAGTAAAAAAAAAAAAAAAGAAGGAATTAAAATGAGAGAACATAATATAGTTAGACTGTCGTAGAGCTTATTTCCGCAGCTCCCAACTAGTGCACCATGGACATAAGCATATATATGCCGATTTATTACACATTACACGGTCAATGCCGGTTACGTATACACATTCAAGCCACGTGATATCGCATTACTTCATTAGGAAATTTTTTTGATTTTTATGAATAACACAATAGTTGTTGTACGTGTAGCACGAGATACGTGTATTCTAATTGTAAGGAGAGCATTTGCGTGCGTAATACTTTCAACTCGCGCGTACAGGACGCAGATGAAATCGAAACTGGCGATGTCGGCGATCAGCTGCACTGGTCGTTTTTTGTCTCTTCACCTCTTTTTTTTTTTTTTTTTTTTCACGGAATCGCGAGTCCACATTTCTTACGTACCACCAACCGCGGTGACAGAAACGGCGTGCTTTTCGGCTTCATTGAAACGTACGTTATATTATACACACCGAATGACTCCCAAAAGCCCGTTGATATGTGTACATACACATAATATACCGATCGGAAATCATCCAAGCGATCACCATCCCTTCGTCGACTCGTGCACCTTTGTACAGCTCTCATCGCGATATATATATATACTTACCGGCCGCACGAGCGAAAATTCTTGTCACTCGTTTGAATAATTCATACATGCACGCACGTACGAGCACAATGATGTAAACGCACATCATCCCGACGAAAGAGGAAGAGAGAAAGAAACGATCTCGAGATAAGCGCCATTCACGTCACTTTCGATCGACTTTCGTACTTTTCGGGACTTTCCTTTAAAAAGAGAGAGTAGGGGGGGGGGAGAAACGAGATCACTTTCCTGCAAAGTACCGTGTAACAACGCGCATCCTCATTAACTCGGCGTTGACGACACTTTACGTAACTTGAGAATAAGAAGAAGAAAAAAAATGGTCCCTGTTCGCTCGGGTAGTCCTAATTACTATCGGCTCCTTTACCTGTCGCAAGCTTTATACTTTATTGTAATTAGCGTTTGCAGGAGAGACTCCCGACGTAACAGAGGTCACTGTCTCCCTGCCTTTTTTTTTTTTTTTTTTTTCTTTTCTTTTCTTCCCATTCCGTCGGGAAAAATAATGCCAATTTGAATGAATCACGCGGACATGATGCAGGAGGAGGAGGGTGTACGAGGTATATGTATATGCGTGAAATAAAATCTCGGACTGTTGTGCAAGGGCATCAATTCATGCTTGGTATATTTTGGCTATTATGTTTATACCTTGCCTGGTGGCATGTAAAACCACATCGAGGACGAGAGGAGGTGCGGTCCTGTTTCGTTACGTAAGAAGGGAGCCATTTCTTTCCTTTCTCCTGTCCTTCGTTGTTTTTTTTTTTTTTTTTTTTTTTTTTTTTTTTTTTTTTTTTTTCCTTCGGGGAAAAAAGGAGCCGCGGTATCGCGAGCAGCAACTGTATTTTAAGTGACTTTTATTGGGTTCGCTTTCGGACAAATGGAATGGATGTTTGCTCGCGTCTCGTACNTTTTTTTTTTTTACCATCTCGAGAAAGGAATGGATGTACACCGAAGGTTTAGTCGATCCACGGGTAGAATAATAATTAATAGCCGATTGTTCTTGGACGATCTGCCAAATCGAGTCGTCAATCGTGAGGTGCGTTTTATTCGAAAAAAATGCTGATTTTTCACCAATGGCCCCACAATTTCTCATACAATGATATTCCGGTCGAAAGCCACATTGCATTTTTGGTCGCCATAAAAACAAAAGGCCCTTCCCCCTCATTTTTGAAAGTTACCGTCGTAAATAATAACGCCGAGAAACAGGCATCTCGTAAAATTACTTACGATGTGCAGTATCACTTGCCATTATAGTGCAAAAAAAAAAAAAAAAAAAGAGATTTGGGATATTCATGAATGCAGATCGAGTTGTTTTATGTAGCCGTACAACAAACTCGAAACGGAGAGTAGAGAGATAATCGGTTGTTTTCATCACCGCCGTTGTCTATAAATACAATTTCAAGTTTGGTTCTTTTTTTTTTTTACCAATTTTCAAGGTTATTTTCAGATAATGTTTTAAGACTTTAGTCCACACGATTTGGTAGTTAAGTACGTGCACAATCAAATAAGCATCAAAATGATAAAATCGACAAAAGGATTACATTTAATTTTTCAGTAAAGAATAGCACGACAGCATCAACGGATCCTTCACAAATCCATGTGCTGATTAGAGAGCATAAACTTTTACCGCACTCCGTGACGATGATATCCCACGCGAAAAGTGCTCGCAATGCCTTGAACTTGTCGGTCTGCGAGAGACAGTGTGAGAAGGAAAAAAAAAACAACAAATGGGTTCCCGCGTCTGTGCGGCAAAGTATATGAGGAACAAGTAGCTCTAAAAATATAAAGGCCCGCCTAACGTCGTATTATTCTCACACTTTACACCGTAGTACACATCTATATGTGTATAGAGTCGTGACTTTCTCTCCCCCGACGAGCGCGGAGTGTCTCTAATAGCACTTGTAATTGCAAAGGTTGCATATATACGTATACCTGGCCGCGAGCGTTACGTTGTACTTGCCCCGCGCACGCGGATGTATATGTGGGGCTGAATTTAGTAAGTATATATACACGCGACATATAGGCACCGAGGGCGCATCTCTCTTACGTGTCCGTATGGCGATGACGAAGCTTGGGGATTTTCAATTTTCCCGTCCACCCGTGTGCTTCGGTCGGGAGTTTTTCATTCGACAGCCGCGAGGAGGTAAGTTGATGAGTTTTTGAATATTAATTAGAAAACCGCGCCGTAACCGTAAGAGGCCCGTCATTTCGGATTTTTCACTCATTGGCTTTGAAAGCAAAGATTACACGTGTGGGAAAACACCAAAAGCTACACAACTGGAAAACAACACCTGTTATACAACCCAAAGTTTTTTGCATAATATATATATATATAATAGCAAGCCCTTTCATTTTCGCGTGCGCCCATGGCACACGCCCGAGAGTATAAGAGGTATATACAAACGGGAGAGTGAAAGTTCGGAAGCGGTGCAATCGAGAATCGGGATGATGCCCCTCTACTCGTAACGTGCAGTATAATGTCAGCAACTTACCGCATATGTGCTCGTAATCATAGAGACGCCAAGAGCAATATTCCGGCTCGATATATGTATGTGTATATACTTATTAAGGTTTGATCGGCAAAACGGTTCCGCGCACTTTTCTCTCCTCGACGACGTATCTAATGAATTGTACTCTCGTGCTTCAATCCCACCACCGATATCTCGCGTTGTGTACGTTCCCCTCGCGACGCGTGCACGCCTATACTCTTGTTTATTTGGTGAATCGAGAGAGTTTGCGTGTAGGAGTATAGGTGCCTGTGTGGGAAAGAAAGCGCCAGAGAGTCGTCCTTACGTCACGTAAAAATATTATGAGCAAGACCGAGAAAGTGTGTACGTATACCCTAGTGGCATTTCGTGCAAAAATGCTTTAACTCCCCGAAAAAAAAAAAAAACAAAAAAAATAAACCCCATCAAGCGCGTATTACGTCACCCAAAGTATTCACCGATTCGTGGGCGCGAGGATTACACCACGGACGAGCGGATCACGCGCGGTCAGTACCGTGTAATATAATCTAATCGCCCCTGAACTTGCGCGTCCGACCGGCGACTTTTCACGGGCTGTTTGACACCTCGACGCAACGTGTATACGCGAGAAGCCCTGCAGGTTTCGATTGCCCATCGGGTAACTCCCACGGCATTTTTTGTTTCGCCGCTCCAATATATATTATACCGCGAGCTTTTTTTTTTTTTTTTTTTGGCTGCGTCACGGCATCTCTCGGAGGTTGCGCAACCGGTGCTCTATGCAACTGAGGAGCTGTGCAATGGATCGTTGGCTGCTGTAATTGGTTATGTAGAACATTGAACGGTTTTTTCTTTTTTCTTTCTTTTTTTTTCAAAGCGTTTCATCGCGTTTTTAACAACAATCGCTGCCTAATAGTTTGGATCGGGGTTTAAATTGGAGCTGCTGGAAAAAAGAGAGGGATATGATGTGTATTCAAGGGAATGTGCGTTCGAGGGAACAAATGGTTTGTCCGCGACAATTTCTCCGGGTTTGTTTCTCCGTGGAATCGGGTATGCATTGTGCGAGGGAAGCATCCTGAGGAAAAAAAATCCCTTGGACAACATTAGAAAATCCCGGCTGTTTTCACCGAAAACGCGTATTCCTTTCTCCTCGGGTATACCCTAAAATGACCTTTCGGTATATCGTACCCCCCCCCCCCGTCGAAGCGAAGCTCCCGATAAAGGACTTACCTCATAGCTTCCCCCCTCCCCCTGCTCGTTCGGCCGAGCCAACCCAGGGAGTCCTGCGCCGAAAGTCCCACCTGTGCGGCTTTTTGCCGGTCAAATGAGAAAACCAGCGCGAAGAGGCACGCGTATGAAAAAAAGGCCCCTCTCTCTCTCTCTTGGGAGAAAGAAAGAACGAGAGAGGAAGGTCCCCCCCTCGCGTGTATAGCTTCGGCTCGCGCGGGTCGCCCCACCTTCGGGAGCGGCGCCTAGACGATACACCTATACCGGACGGGATGAGCGGCTCTTGTATATAAAAGCCTTGGCTTGTCACCGCGAATTCGCCAGAGAAGTCTAGATAATACGTGCCGCGCCACCAGCGAGGGCCTTTTTTTACCCGCGTATCGTTGGCACGATCGACCGTTTCTTTATTTCTTTCTTTTTTTTTTTTTTTTACGTGCGGGCGCTAGGAAGAGGATCATCATGCGCTCTGCCCTGGTCAGTGTGGCGATACCATTTTTTTTACTATGGTTCTGTGTGCGATTGGCAGTGTATTTTTTTCTACTAATTTTTTTTTTTTTTGTTTTCGAGGGGGGAATTTTTAATTGAAATTGAAGAAAAATTTTATTTTGCGGCCCTTTTTTTGGTTGAGCTGCGATAAAGAAGGTGCGCGTCGAAGGGCGTCCAAGTGAATCGGTTGGCTGGAAAAAGTGAAGCGGGGAAAATACAAGTGCGCGTTGCGTCGCGTGTTACGTAAAAAAACAAAAAAAGTGGACCGAGGATTTCTGTCGCTTAATGGACTTTTCTGATTTGGTTGAGACTTTTGTAGAAAAGTAAACCTCGTACTAGTGCTTCCAGAAATTCGTTGGCTGTTCGGTTTTCCCCCTAAATTACGTGCATGTATTACGAAATGTCTTTTGTATTGTTTGGACAAGGGTTTGATTCTTTTTTTTTTTCCAACAAATATGTACATAAAAAAAACGTGTCTTACGATGTTTCTATTTTATTTCATTACATTTACTTATATTTGATTTTTTTTTAATTTTTAGTTGCACAATAATTACACTACAACAATTTGTACAATTTTTAAATTTTAATGAATATGCTATGAGTCTGCTTTAAAAAAATTTATTTACTCTTGAAATTCTTTGACTATTGTTTTTTTTCATTTATTTATTTATTTATTTTTTTTTTTTTTTTTTACTAACATCACAAAAAATTCTTATGCGATACTTTGGTTTAACCGGAAGATTTACTTATTTTTATTCATTTATTCACTATAGTAGAACACTATCAAATCCATGCATTTATGTATTTTAAGTAACATATTTACAATTAGGCTTCTATTTTAAATATATTTCATTTTTTCAAATAATAAAATAGACAAGCGTATTTTTTTGAATAAGAATAAGCAATTTTTATTTTACTTTTTTTTGTTTGTCGTGACGAGTCGATGGGAAAAAAAAAAAAAAAAAAAACAATTCAATTTCGAGAACTTTCAAACCTAGGAGCGAAACTCATCTCGCGTACTTGAAAAAGTGACTCTTCAATTTCCCGATGGTCGATGGGGCGAACACAAACCGACCCACCTTTTCTACATACGAAGATTCGTTCAAACAGCCGATGGCTACGTTCCCAATTTCTAAAGCCGAAAGAAACCATTAACTCTCCCGCTCGCATGTAAGCAAGTGCTAGACGAAAGACAAAAGCATACTACACTCGCGGATAGACCCCGTGGCGAGAGAGCGAATTTCTCACCGAACCTTCGGCTTCTTTTCTTCCTCACCTCGCATAACACGTTATTCGCGAAAGATCAATCGGCTCGCAATGATCCGCAGCTCTAACTACAATATTCATCTTCTTCATTTCTCTCTCTTTGGGGTGAAAAACAAAAGAAAGACCTCTCGTCCTTTCTCCCCGGTGGCTCTGTTTGTCGAGGATCACGTAACGCAACACACCTACGTTACACCGACCCCAAAGTGTTATATTATCTCCACCGCGACACGTCAATGGGGGACGAAAGGAACGGGCTCATTTATCCGAAGCGCGACAACGATCGCTTCCACGCGCTTACTTTCACTATCTGCACACGCCCCGGTCCCCCTTTCATCTCCTCCCGACGCGGCAGAAGGTCGCCTCGACCTTAATTTTTTCCCAACCGAGTCCGTTTTTCTCGCTTCTCCGATCATTTCCTCTCTCTCTCTCTCTCTTGACTCTGCACCGCGAGCTTGCAAAATGCCCCTTTGTACACGGACGTTACATATCGATTAAAAAAAAAAAAATTTTACTTTTAATTCATAACGATTCGTCTCGAGACAAATCGGCCACTAAATATTTACGACCTTCTTTTATCCCGTGGAATGCGTCGATGATTAAACGGACTTAATCGCGAAACAAGATGCAAATTAAGTGGGTGAAAATTAGACTGCCGCCCGAAGGGGGCCGGGACTCGCTTGAAAGGCGGCAGTGGCATGCAAATCGAGGCGGACGGGATACGCTAGTTGTGCAAACGAAGACCAGTTGAAAAACGAGAGCCGATGTAGTAACCCGTCGCGCACACGTATTTACAGTTATCGCACCGGCCCATACACGGTCTACCTTTTAAGGATTTCACTTTCCCCCCCCCCCCTTTTATCTTTCATTCCTTTATGTATACATGTATATAGAAGGTGTAGCGGCGATAATCAGTTTGAATTAGCACTCGCTCGTCGTCGAGCATCACCGGCGTGTTCGCACGTTATTATATATAATATATTGTATTGTATACCATCGTATACGCATGCATAATAAATACAGTGTGATGAATTTTACAGATTTTATTGGGCTGCCTCTTCGTCGCCTCCTTCGCTTCGGGAGACCCGATAAGGACAAAGAAAGAGTAAGTCATCGGATTTTCGGCTTCACAATAGCTAGTAGCCCTACATGGAAGCGTTCGAAATTAAATCAATGGGAGGCAACGACCTTGCCTTTATCGATTAATATATATACCGGTTGTCATTCATTAGCATCATCACCTGTGTGCTTTTATTTCAGGGTGTCTTTTATTTGTCCCGCTTCGCTGCAGTTTAAAATTAAGTTTTTTCTTTTTTCTGTTTATTTTGTATTAAAACTCTGGAAAGTAAAGGACACCCAGTAACGTATGCCAAATTGCAAAACTACAACGTATGAATTTATGTTCGTTCAAGAGCACCATTCGACTCGTACGCACCGCCATCCGGATCGTACGACGCGTCCGTCAGCCATGGGGTCACCGACTCCCTGTCACCGCCGTCAGCAGCGGCACCCGGCAACTTTGCCGGCCCGGCACCCGATCACGCGGTGGCCGCCGCTCACAGCTTTGGCGCCCCCACCGACTCTTACGGCGCACCACTGCCGGCTGACTCTTATGGTAGGCCCTTGGCTAGCTACTTGGCTGCTCCCAGCACCGCTTCGCTTGTTAATCTCCACGCCACGACCATACCCTTCGAAACCATACCTTCCTTCAAACTGGTTAACCCCTACGCTGTGTCCGCTAACGTATCCCCAGCTGCCGTCAATCCCTTTGGTCGGCCGATAACCACCGCTTCTCCCCTAGCCGCCGTCGATCGCTACGGTGTCCCCGTTACCGTCGGCGTCGACGCTTACGGGGTTCCCGTGACTGCTGCACCCACCACCCTCCCTACCGTCGATCCCTTTGGGTTACCCGTCACGTCCGCACCCGCGCTCGATGTCTTTGGCAACCCTGTCACCGAGGGTCCCTACCCCGTCGATCCCTACGGTAACCCCCTCACTCCCGGTCCCGTGGCTCTCGATGTTTTCGGCGACCCGGTGACAGCTGCTCCATCTACGGTCGCCGTCGATGCTTTTGGCCGTCCGGTCGCACCTGCCACCGTAGCTGTGGATCCTTTCGGTAACCCGGTCACAGTGGCGGCTCCGGTGGTAGCCACCGATGCCCTTGGTAACCCGGTGAGAGCTGCACCTTCCGTGGGTGTGGATCCGTTCGGGAATCCGGTGACCGTAGCTGCCCCGGCCGTTGCCACTGATGTTTTTGGCAATCCGGTCGATGCCTTCGGCGATCCCGTGACCCCTGCTCCCCCCGTGGATCCTTTGTACGCGGTTCCCACCGTACCACCACCCCTAGTCGTAACACCAGCTCCAGCTCATTCTTACGTTTTACCAGCCCCGTCCACCTCTTATGGTGCTCCAGCTCCGGCCCCAGCCCCAGCCCCGGTTTATGGCGCTCCGGCCCCAGCCCCGGTTTACGGTACTCCTCCAGCCCCGGTTTACGGTCCTCCGGCACAGCCCAGTGGTACCTGGAAGAAGAAGCTCACTTGGAAGTCCGAGTGGCAGAAGGTGTGGAAGACCGAGCAGAAGATGATATGGAAGCAGGTCTGGAAGAAGGTTCAGGTGCCCGTTTGGAAGGAGGTTAAGGTGCCCGCCTGGAAGGACGTGCAGGTGCCGGTGTGGAAGAAGGTACGTGCGAGAGCACTTTTTGTTTTCCATATACCTATATACTGTTTATTGCGCATATTTACGGGCCTCCAGAGTTAAATTAGACATTGGCAATTATGACTGCGTTTAGCTCTCTGTTTTTATGACTCTCTAGCGCGGGCGCCCGACGTTAAAAAATCTCGCTAAAAGTTCGCTAAAGAGAAAGTCAAGTATTTTTTTACGTCCACTCGAGACATGCATAAGTTGCGTATACAAGTGTGTCAAACGAACGTTTGTATATGTGATTGCTACACGTTGATATAATGTTGAATTCCATAGTTCTACCATATTATTTCATGATTAACTGTCATTAATTTCAATTAATCAAAAGAAAATTTATCGAGTTGTCTTCATTTGCACGAAAACGATTGTTTTGGAAAATATATTGGTCGCACAAATCAACCAAACAATACGTATTTCTCAGGTCCAGAAGCCAATCTGGAAGGAAGTCAAAGTACCAGTTTGGAAGGAGATCCAAGTGCCAGCTTGGAAGAAGGTGTGGAAGCCAGTCTGGAAGGAAGTGAAGACTCCCGTTTGGAAGGACGTTGAGGTCCCCGAGTGGAAGAAAGTCTGGGTCCCCGACTGGGTCACCGTGCCCGATAGCAACCCCGCCTGGGTCACCACCCCGGCACCCTCTTACGGACCACCGGCACCGTCTTACGGACCACCGGCTCCCTCTTACGGCCCACCCGCACCTTCTTATGGAGCTCCACCGGCTCCGTCTTATGGCGTCCCGGAACCGGTTTACGGAGCTCCGCCAGCACCGTCTTACGGGGGTCCTCCAGCTCCGAGTTACGGTTTGCCGGGACCTGGATTCCAGAAGAAGCTGATCTGGAGGGAGCAGTGGAAGAAGGTCTGGCGCACCGAGAAGAAGCAAATCTGGAAGTCGGACAAGAAGCTAGACTGGGTGTCCGAGTGGAAGCAGATATGGAAGACGGAGAAGAAGCAAGCCTGGAAGATCGAGAAGAAGCTCGTGTGGAAGGAGGAGTCGGTGCAAGCCTGGGAGAGCCAGAAGAAGCAGATCTGGGTGACGGAGAAGAAGCAGGTCTGGAAGGACGAGTGGAAGAGCAAGTGGGTGCCCGATTGGAAGAGCGTGCAGGTGCCCGCTTGGAAACAGGTGTGGAAACCGGTGTGGGAGAACGTTTGGGTCCCCGAGGAACATCACGAGGAAGGATACAAATATTAGGCGCGACGGAAACACATCGAGGTCATAGCGAAACAATGTCGCGACTTTGACTCTCATTTGTCGTTGTCGAAACTGCCGATTTTGTGATGTCGATTTTTTTTTTTTTTTTATACCTTGATTTATTATACGTATGCATATGTGTGTGTAAATATGTCGATCGAGTGGTTGATGCGAATTTCTTATGGCTCTCTCTTGAGCATCAGCGTTGATTGTTGTTGAGATACCTGATGCAGTTCATGAATTTCAATCATCCAAGTGCGAGTATGAAAGTTTGTTTTCAAATCTCGTGTGTACCCTCAAAGTTGCGCAAAGAAAAATATCTGGACTTGCGAACGTCATGGGTGATACGAACTCTACGTATAATTGGTTGTTTGTTAAACGAGTTACGTTTGGAGCGGATCGCTCGTTTAATCGGATGGGCGTGGATCAATGGGATTTCCGGTGATTTTCCCAATCGTAAGGAAAAGAAAAGTCCTCCGAATGATTGATAGGTGAGACGCGTCGCTTATATACCTAATTGGGCGTCTCCCCTAACGACAGCTCATGTAATCTCACGTTGTATATTTTATGTATATGTATTTGTCAAACAAGTAACACACACACACACGAATAGTCTCGTTATCCCCGTCCCACTGTAAATAACTTTTGATTCATTTTTTTTCCCTCAATTATTTTTGTATCTAGTTGTATACGACTGTATCGTTAATCTTTAATTTTTGTGTACGACAATCATTTACTTTAACTTTGGTTTTTTTTTTTTTTTTTACGAAATAAAACGAAACATTTTTCTATTGAAAAAAATGAAAAAGAAAATGTAAAGAGAAAAATATTTTTCACGTTTTTTTTTTCATCGTTCACCAAGTACGTATATGTAAGTGTGTATTGAACGTGTGCAGCGTTTGCATATTAATTTAAAATGGTCACATGGTACATGGTCGTCGGAGCGTGGCCGAACAAGGCCGTGGCCGTATACATGTTGTATTCATGAGCACGTGTAGCGTCAATTAAAATCGATCGAAATCAGATAGATATATCACAGTAGAACGCCGGAGGAAGTACAGTTGGTAATTTGCTTAAACGGCTTGCCTGGGAATATCTTAACTGGAAATCTAAATCTGGAAATTTGAACGATTTTCCGTTGTTTTTTGTGACTGTAATGAAAAAAAATATGCCGATTGCACGGCCGAGAGTAAGTATTTGAAAGTTGATTATCTCGTTGAAAGCGTCGCGATGTAAAGGCAGTCAGTTTTCTTTGAAATTACATTCAACAATTAACGTCGGAAGATCTCGCAATTAAGATGATGGATCGTTATGTGGAAGGAGAAAAAAAAATCAGTAGGTACACCTATGGAAACACCAGTGGAATAACAGCTTCCTGTGCGACTTTTTTCATACATACACACACGCGCACACATTAGTTCAAGCTGTTCAAGGCTAAAAATGCGTATATTTCGACATGTGGGCACATCAGTGTTGGATTGCAGAAAATTACTAGGGCCCTTGGCGTGTGTAAAACACAAGTTCGTTACACATCGAAAACAATCGTGTTTCGGCCTTGACGATTTCTATTATTTTCCTCCCTGCACGCCGTCATTATATATTCTGTACATGAGGCTTACTTCCGTTTCTTTTTTTTTTTTTTTTTTTTTTTTATTTATTTATTTATTTCGCCGTTCATCAATTATTTTTTGTTTTTTTCCATCGACAGTGTAACCAAACGAAATACTTAACGATCGATATTTCGAGCATGAGATCAACAAATCGTATATGCTATTGGCAGAGCATGTATACCCGGGATGGAGGTAACGTAATCGGGAACTAGAGAAGAAAAAAAAGGTTCAATGGCCGTATTGTTTTTGAGGTGCAAACGAGAAAGTCGCGGGAGAACCGCGTTAACTGGAAAACTACATCCGCAGTGTCGCAATTAACACTTAAACTTGGCGAGAGTCCGGAATAAGTATGTACAATCTCCGCTTGACGAGTACAATTTTCAATTTAAAAAAAGTCTCCAAGCGATAACCGTATAGGGTGTATAATATATTGTATCGGTAAAATTCGATACACTTTTGAAATGACTCGAACGCAATGAGCTTGCGCGTGTGTATAGGAAAGAGAAAGAGGAGCCAACCGCAACAACAACAACAACAACAACCGATCCAAGCGGCAAAGGAGAACTCGTGACCTTACAGTACTTTCTCTCCCGATGATGCCTATACATGTACATATATACAAAATGCACGGCTCACAACCAACTCGATATCTCTCCTCCGGTCTTAGAACTCGTTTATCCCTCTCGAGCAAATGGAGAGAAATCGGCAGTGTATGCGTGTATGTACATGGAACTGCACGGGACGGGAGATGGGAGGTTCGCTAAATGCACGCGTTTTTGTTTCTTTTGCATGCAAGTGTACCTATATAGGTACACTTCATCAATCGCTGCGTTGGATAACTTTTCGTGAACTTTCCCGATGGTCCACGCGGATGTACATTCATGTTGATGGCTGGTTTCCACGCGCATACAATATTGGCTCTCCGACAAGTGCTTTTTCTTTGTTTTTCGATTTTCTTGCCATTATTATTATTATTATTATTATTATTATTATTATTATTATTATTATTATTATTATTATTATTATTATTATTATTATTATTATTATTATTATTATTATTATTATTATTGACAGCAGGGAGATAATTCTCACGATACAAACCTGTAGTCCCAGATACGCTTGTAAGATTCTACAAAATATCTCGTCTCATCGTAATAAAACTAACTCTGGGAGGTATCAAGGAATGATCGACAATCAAGTTTTCGTACATTAATCCCATGAAAGTAATGCACACCATCTCCAGTAGATTCTGTAAGCAAACGAAAAAACAGTGTTAAAATGGCATAATTTAAGCAGTAGCAGTTGTCGTTCTCTTTGTAAAGTCCAGTCGAGGAGTTGACAATAACTCAGTCCCGCTCGTGGCTCGGGCAGTACGTAAATTTCCACACTCACTCCTGGAATTCCGAAAACGCATTGGTTACGTACAAATGGATTCCCGCTCGACTGGCTATACATGGATACATTTCTACACTTTTACGGATCAACAAATGTTTCTAGCTCAGCTTCCCTATGGGCATGGGATTTGACCGATTTTATCCGTCAAAGAGAAAATCGGTACCCCATGTATATATACATAAATACTTTACAAGCCGGCAACTAAATTATTGATCGATTGATTACTCAAAACTGTGTAAACGAACACGTGATTTTTAAAACTTGAGTGCATTGGAGATAAAAATTGATCAACGCATCCGCGTGGGGTAAAAACCTAGGTGCACAATAAATGCTTACCGATATCATTTTTTACCCGCACGCGGTACGTTTAAGTATACACTCAAGGATATCGTTACACTGGTCGAGATTTCGTAAGACTCTGTAATGAGTAATGATATATGTATAGAACGAAGCCAGCTCTCATAACGCGACCATTACGATTTCTCATTAGAACCCACCTCAAAAGGGTAACGCATGGGGTATATTTATATACCCGTCAAAAGCCCAATTACGCGTTGTTGGTAGATATAGACCTACGTCTTATTTTCTCCGAAAGTATATACGTGCCTCGTGGTTTGTAGTTTGTCCGGGAGTAAGTGTATACCCCGTAAGTGGGTATACAGAGCGAATGATGCGCGGCGGCACTGTTACGGAGCTGTTGTTTTTTCTTCCGGAGATCGCGCACTCGAACGGAACGAGATTACATGACGCGCGGATTGCAAATATATACGAGCACTGGTTTCGTTCTTTTTCTTTTCACTTTCGCTTGGTTCTTCTTCTTTCCCCCCCCCCCCTTTTTATCAAGCGGGAAACTATCGTGGCGCTATTGCGTTTTCTGGGCAATCGATTTTTGCGGGATGAATGTGGAGACTTTGCGTATAGGATACGGATGAGTTTTATCGTATTGTGAAAAGTAAGTTTTCAGTTGTTTGGAAAAACGCGAAAAGAAAAAATATGTGTCCTAATAAAAGTTTCTTATAATTTTCACAAGGGGAATTCGGAAAATTATCTAAAACCGTACATTCGATGATTTATTGCCTTGTTACAATGGTATGAGAGAAAAGAAGAGTTTCCCGCAACATCTTCACCGAAATGTTATCAATTAAATCCTAGAGCTGCATGTGTACGCGCGTACACCCCAGGAAACCATATACACGTCGCAGTGAGAGTGAATCCGGTAGGGTACAAGTGTGGGATGGGAAAAAAAAGAGAGGGAGAGATAGATAGAGATGAAAGTGAAAGTTCACCGGTTGCACTTGCTTTTATGGACGCGTGTAGGTATATAAACTCGTGTACGCGCGCTCGCGTCCTTACACTTGGCCACGGGAGCGCCATGTAATCATAAAACAAAGCCTAAATTGCTTGCGCCATCAAAATATTTTTTGCATCTCTCTCCTTCTCTACGAGTGCCGAATTTGATGCGATTCTTTTTTTTTTTTTTTTTTTTTTTCTACGCAGGAAAACAAGAATTTCATGTATATAAAATATATACACATGTACGTTTCGAGAGCGCGTGTGGGATGCAGTGGCGTTGTCTCTCCAAATTGCGATGGAGTTGAAAAAAAGTTTTATTTTAAACGAAAGTTATATGTATAGCGCACTTGAAATCAAAAGCTGAGAAGGAAAAAAATAAAATAAAGCGAACAACGATCCCAATATAAGGTGTAGCGTGGGCCGCTACCACATTTTCTCTACCCTTGGCAATTAATTTTCCTTCCCGATTGCTTTCCTCGTAAATCGTTAGTCCGTAAAAAAAAAAAAAAAAAAAAAAAAAAACTACGAGTCCTCTCTCTCGCGAATCGTTCATTCTCCCATTGAGTCGAATAAATCACGCATTGCAGCTACACGTAACGAGCGGTGCATATACATATTGTGTGTGTGTATATACACAGATACCTAGTGTTTCCGTTCCGTTTACCGGTCAGTGTCTATTTTGCATTCTAAGGAACTGATATA